AAGCAAACAAAAGCCTCACCACAGTTACATGGTCAGTACTTGTTTAAAAACATACCCACAGTGCTCTACTCAATGAAGTTCAGAACGCTTACTGCAGGACATGCATATATACTCTAAATACACAACAAAGACTGCTGCCTCCCAAATTAGTCACTAAGATTTCCCTCCTCTTACTGTAACCCAAATTCATCAGTTCTTTATTTGCTGTGGATCTGTTATGTGGCAGTGATACCTGACATGTGCTAAGCAGTATTTTCACAGCTTTAAAACTTGCTAGACCAAACTGGGAAAACCTGCATGCCTATAAGAAAGATAAGAACAGTACTCTTGTGCAAAAGTAGTGCAGAGGTAATATTTGTACAGCTTACAAGCCTGTAATTCTGATCTTATTGGACAATGACTTAAAGAACAGGCACAGCCCCAGCATTACGACAAAATCCAACTATCTAAAATCTTAAAAACTGTGTAGCTCAAGTCAGCTAAACATAAATTTGCTCATGGCAACATAGGAAGAAAATCTTTGTGATGTAGGAACAGATGTCACTGTACATTTTTCATAATATGGCATTACCCGCTGTTTTGTATGCATGGTTTCACTGGATATATTTAAATTATATTTCATAAACACTTTAACTTCTTTGTTCTAACTATATCAAAGTAAAGTAGAAATAGCCTAGTCTTTATTAGAAGTTTCTATTTACATGAAAACTTACAGTAACCAATCACTTAGAATCACAGAATATGCTCAGTTGGAAGGGACCCATCAGGATCATCAAGTCCAACTCCTGGTCCTGCACAAGACAGCTCCAAAAATCACACCATGTGCCTGAGAGCATTGTCCAAACACTTCCTGAACTCTGTTAGGCTTTGAGCTGTGACCACTTCCCTGGGGAGCCTGTTCCAGTGCCCAACCACCCCCTGGGGGAAGAACCTTTTTCTAATATCCAACCTAAACCTCCCTTGACACAACTTCAGACCATTCCTTCAGGTTCTTCACTGGTCACCACAAAGAAGAGATCAGTGCCTGCCCCTCCTCTCCCCCTCCCAAGGAAGTTGTAACTCCAGTGAGGTCTCCCCTCAGTCTCCTCCAGGCTGAACAGACCAAGTGCCCTCAGCTGCTCCTCACATGGCTTCCCCTCAAGGCCCTTCACCATCCTTCTGGCCCTCCTTTGGACACTGTCTATTAGCTTAATATCTTTCTTATATTGTGGTGCCCAAAACTGCCACAATATTCAAGGTGAGGCCACACCAGTGCAGAGCAGAGCGGGACAATCTCCTCCCTCGCTCAGCTGGTGATGCTTTGCCTGATGCCCCCAGGACACAGTTGGCCCTCCTGGCAACCAGGGCACTGCTGACTCATATTCAACTTGCCACTGAGCAGGACCCCCAGGTGTCTTTCCCAGCACTGATTTCCAGCATCTAATTCTCCAGTCTGTCCATACATCCAGGGTGCAGAATTCAGCACTGTCCCCTGTTGAACTCCATATGGTTGGTGATTGCCCAGCCGTCTAATTGTTGAGGTCTCTCTGCAGGGCCTCCGTCCTTTGAGGGAGTCAACAGCTCCTCCCACTTTTGTCTCGTCTTCAAACTTGCTTAGTGTCCCTTCCAGTCCTGCATCCAAGTCATTTATGAAGATGTTGAAAAGCACAAGGTCCAAAATAGAGCCCTGTGGAACCCCACAAGCGACAGGTCACCAGTCAGATGTTACCCTATTCACTAGTACCGACTGTGCTCGACCCATGAGCAATTGCTCACCCACTACATGACGTGTTTATCCAACCATGTGTTGTCAAGAAGGATACTTTGAGAGCCAGTATTGAAAGCTTTACTGAATCCAAAATCATTACATCAACTGGCTTCCCTTGATCAACTAGGTAGACTAGTCAAAACAAACAAGCAAAAAAAAAAAATCTGTTTCATAATATTGAAAACCTCAGTTACAGAAAGCCTGACACAGCCAAGACATAATTATGATGAACATCAGACAGAGATGCATAAAAAGTGAAAAGTGCAGTCAGAACATTCAGTGTGTCAAGCACGGTGAATGTGATCCCAGCTGCACAGTACTTCAATATAATTAAACCACACTTCTTACATAATGTAAGTTAAATGACAGGCAAGAGTGAAGTTAACTATCTACTTTCTGGTTCAGGAATACCAGCACTGCAAAGCTATTAAAATCTTTTTTTAAAGAGTACAATAAATAACATGTCAGCATCCCCCTTCACTTCAGCATTTATGACCTGTGTGCACAAATCAAGCAATATTTAATTATTTTTGTATTATAACAAAAATCCAGCAGGTTTGAAAATGAGACATAATTCTCTTGTATAGACGGAGCCTGGTTTAGGCAACAAACAAGAAAATGCTTTACCCTGTGATGTACCAACTGCCCTTTCCCTGCCTTCTCTACAGTCTACTATTTGTGGCAGTAAAATCCTGCTGAATTTAATTAATGCACAGAATTCACTTCCCATAGTTTCATTTTATTACAAGAGAAATAAGACAAGTTAAAGTATTTATTTGTGACAAGGGATATTAGCTGCTTTGAGCTTATTAATGGGAGCAACCAGTAGTACAGCCCTGATGTTGAGGGAATTATTACTGCAGCTTTTTGCCCAATTTCTGCAAAATGTTTTGCAGTCAGATACAAGGGTTATTTCTGCCCTAAATGCTCAATTATATGAGCTGGTGATTGACCTGAAAGCATAGCCCAGAAGACCAGGGCATACCTAATAACCTTGGATTCCCCTCCACCCCCAAGTTTTATCTGTTCCTCTGTTTGGAGGAACGGTAGGGCTACATTTTGCAGCCATCAGTTGTGGCAGCAGCTTTTAAGGAACAAGAAAGTCAGCTTTACTGTAGCCTGGATAATCAGAAGAGTGAAGCCACAGCACTTGAAGCAGTGTTAATGTCAAAGGGACACAACCCATCTCTTGGGTCATGAAGCAAGCATTGAGGTCTGTCCAGTTGCAGTTATGCTGGCAAGGGTATCAAGCTATAGCTCATTCAACCTGACTTTTATGAATATATATAAACATCCAGGCTCAAAAAAAGTCACCCAAACTAATAGATAGTGCAATAGCTTCCAATTATAGGTAAGAAAGCCAAGCTATTAGTTTTATTGTTGCTGACATTCTAGGATGTAAGTAGAAGTCCAAATATTGCCACAAATGAAGTTGCAACCAGGATGGCCTGGGGTCATTCACACATGCTGCAGTCCACCTTCATTTAAATCTTAGAGTTTATCTAATTTTTTTTCGTACCTACATGCAGCTTTAAAATGCCTGAATAGTAAAACACTCAATGAACATAAACCAGAGATGGGATTAATATTTGCCCTACAAAAAGGTAGTTATAAACTGTAGATCTAGAATGTTTCACATAGGAATGATATAAATGCTATGACATAAAGGAAAGGTATTCTCTCACATGACTTACGAGCTATGTTAATGGGATTCTCTGGGAGACACTCTAGTCCTGTACTACAATCGTAAGGAACAGTTATAAAAAGTTCTTACAGGCTTGCAAAAAGCTTATCAAACTATATTCATTCTCTAGGCTAGATCTTCTCCTCTGTAACAAGCTTGCAACTAGAAAAGTAGTAGTACAGGAACAGCTCTATGAAGTCCATTTTTTTCCCTTACAGATATGGTATTATTTTCCATCATCTGTCAGTCACAATGAAACTGGAAGGGAATGGAGAAAATCAAACACCATTCACTCAATTCTTGTTAGCTGTTCAGAGTTGACAACTCTATTAAATAAACAGCAGACCCCATTTTAAGCCCCTGTAGCCTAATCCTTAACCAAAAACTAAAACAAATACCTTGTGAAAATGCATGGTAATGCCCTTTCCCCGTTATTCTTACACAGAAAAAGCACAGTGAGAAGACAGAACCAACCTGTTTTCTCAAAAAGCTTGAAAATTTAAACAAATATATCCACTATTTTCTATAAAAAAAAAAATTTAAGAGTTCTCTAAACGTAGAACTTCACTTTTGTACACAGTTCAAAGACAGTCCCAAGTCGTAAATTATACCTCTGATTTCCTTCTTATAGATAATGAACACATATACAGTCATGACATAAGCTTGAACAGTCTTTAATCATACTGGGTGCCAATTACAGATACATAAAGAGCAATTCAGCTAATTAAATACAGGTGTCAAGGGCCATTCTTGATGCCCAAGGGAAAACTATCAGCTGGACTCCAGATGCCACAGAAGAAAAACAGTTCTCCTGTAGGTCCTATAATGACATTTAGATCTGTAAGGCTGTCTTAGATCACCTGGAGCACATAAAGTGGCACTCAAGGTCTGTATTTGGCAGTTAAATCATTCAAATAGTGCCACTGACCTCCATATATCATCTCAAGTGCATAACTTTCCAAGAATAAAGAGCTGACTCTGTATCCAAAAATGTACAACACCAGCACCCCAAAGGATTCACCTTTAGCAGTGACACGGTACAGCTTGGACTGTTACAAATCAATAATAGCAGCAGCCACAGAAAAGCCACTCACCACACAAGAGATTAAATTAAAATATCATTATCTCTCTCAAACATCAGGTTACAGGCTCTACTGTCATTCTGGTTTGGGCATATAAGTAAAATACTATCAGAAACGTATTTCTGAAAAATTATTTACAGTGGTGTTATCTCAGTCTATTCCATATGTTCTCTGCCCTCAAAAAGCACACAAGAGCAATTTTTGTTTGCCAAGAATACCTGTGTTGATTCACGTAACCAACTAAAAAGCCAATAGCAAAGTGTTCATCTTAAGTGCATGGCTCTCTTTCTCTATTCTCTAATATAGCAACAAAAGATAAAGTAGATTTTCAGCACAAAAGAACAACAAAACCAATTTCTATATCAACCAATTTCTATATCAACCTATTTCCCCAATTTGCAAACTTGCCAAAAAGAGCCAAGGAACAACATGGCAAGAAAAATCTTCCTTGGTAAGACTCGGAGAAGAAATGAGGCAAAGCACTTACCGTGTCTTGAGATTTATCTTTGACATCATAGACTGTCAGTTTTATTTTAGTCTCCTCATAGATGGGGTATTCCGGTGGGAATGTCACACCAGTCAAAAACAGTGGATCTCTTGTACCCTGTGTAACATGAGTAAACATTCAGTAAGGTAACAGCTGTGCAATGTGTAGTATGTCAGTGTGGAGGTACAGAAACCCAAAAGATGTCAGCTGTCTACAGCAGAAAGATGGGAACAGATAAGTATTGCTACCCAATCAATAAGGAAACCAGACAAGTTTAAAACTTTGACAGGAAATTTTAAAGACAAACAAACAAACGAACAAAACCCAAACAAAACCACAACAACTTTCTGCAAAGTTCTTTAACTGTAAAAGATAAATGCTGCTGAAACAGAGCCTAGCAACATGTCTTTAAACAGCTCAGCAGCAGATATCAGTATCTGGAATACAACCTGTAACAACCAAACCCTTTCTTACTCCCACGACACTTTCTGAAAGTACCACAATTTCATCTTAATTTCAATGAACTAAAGATATAATTTGCACGCACATACAAAATAGAGTCATCTTCATTAAGTCAAATAATAGGTCCATATAAATGCTACAGAGACTCTCTGTATTACATTAAGGATATTGATTAGTGGAGCAGGGATTAAAATACCCCTCTTTAGGTAGAAGTGCAGTAAATTAACATTCCTGTGCTTTTTAACATTATGATTTATATCTAAAAGCTGTACACAGAAGTAACTATATCATAGCTTCAGATATACAATTACATGAATCATACAAGATGTTGTTTATAATTTTTTAATGTTTAATTATACTTAATTTCCAAAGATTACCAGAGGCTTACGTATCCTTAAATTTTCTATTAAGTAAAAAAAAAGGCCTGTGCATGATAAAGATAATTTATCTTAAAGAAAATAACTTTCTGCCCCTGCCTTCCTCTCCTCCAAAATTTAACTACAAAGATGAGAGCCTTGACAAAACAAATTCAGAAATGCTTTGAGATCTAGGACATTGTGTTAGATAATGAATCAACTTCTATAAAATAAAAAAAAAAATATCTATTCCATCTTCTGCACGACATCATTCCAGACAGTCTGCAATGAAGCATCCTGATCAGATACATGATATTTGAATTAAGCAGTTTCAGGATGGTTGAGGGCTGAAAGCATAATAATTTAATTAGTAGTTGGTTAAAAGTAAATCACACAAAGAGCTCATGAAACATTCTCATTGTATTCAACAGTTAAAACAAGCCTTTGGCGAAATCGCATGTGTGTGTTTACCACAAGCCTTCCCTGTTCTTAATGAGTCTCTCTGGTAAGTTAAGCAAGTTACACCTACATTGCCTGCTCATACTTAATTTTCTCTGAACCATTTTCTGCTGTTTCTGACACTGATGCTTACAGGGCAATGCGAGGACTAGCAGAGCAGCCTCAGACAGCCTGTTGTAATACGTGATGCAAGTTGCTAATTATTTTATATAAAGTCACAGACATTATGTACACACATTCTTTTCCCAAGTTATAGAAGTAGGGTAGTATTTTTCAAATTGCAAAAGCATCAACTCTCTAATGGAAAAAAATAGAACAAGGAACAAACTGGATAACAGATCACACAACACACCTATGTTCTCCTGCAATTTAAAAATACTTCACAAACTCCTTGCTACTCTTAATTCAGTTTTACTTTGCACTGCATTGTCCCTTCATGAGAGCAACTATTCCCTGTTTCATTCTAAACCTATGTCTGGAGAACTGGAATATTCTCCATGCCTCTACTTGGAACAACAGAGCTTTCATGAAAAGCCAAGTTAATTTCTGTTTATCCTGGTTAAATGCCAAGAACTACGGAACACTTAGGTATGCTTTACTAACTGCCAGAGTGTGCTTGCCCTACCTAAGACTGTGCACTGACTTGTTTTATTTCTCATTCACTTTCTAAAGAAGAAATGAGCAATTCATTAATCAACATGTTAATTGAATAAGAAAGTCTCACCTCCACGATTTCAGTGCTTGAATACCTCGTCAAAATGTGCTCTGCTGGATGCACCACTGAGACTTGTATAAACGTATTCAGCTTCCGATCACGGGTAGCAGCCACTAGATCCTTGCATGCTGGAGACAGTACAAAATAAAAACAAAATGTTCAAAAGAAAACTCTGGGAAAAAGCTGTCACAGGCACAGGACAAAGCAGACCATGCTCCGGCTCCAGATTAAATCTCCAGAGACAAGTCGATTTAACAGAGGAAGTCCCTTGGAAGTAACTTACAGAAATAGGAAGTCACATGCTGCAGAACTGAACTGAGATCTCGTTTCCACTAAAAATACTTGCAGCTTCTGCAAAGCTCCCTGCCAGAGGCTCACGGGCTCCACTATATGAACGTGCGTGCGCATACGCACACACTTACACGCGCTGCAATAGTAGTTTATTTTACAGAAGCACTCCTTTAATTTGCCCAAAAAAAAATCTTTCTTAGCAGCCTAACTTGATCCTCTCTTGTCTGACAATTTTCACAGTTACATGACCATTTTAAACACATTCTAAACCAGCTAATTGCTATCAGTGATTGGGTTAGTTTATACAGTCTGTTACTACAGTATGAACTTCTTAGCAGAACAAGTCATTGGGTATAAATCTACATACCTAAAAGCAGACAGCAAAATAACCAATTCTTTTGTCAGTGACTGGCATGTAAATGAGAATAACTGTATTCTGCCTACATGGCATCATTATTAAAACTCATTCTACCTAATAGAGAAATTCAGTTCTTGTTTAATGATTCGTTTTTATCCTGGGCTCAGAGTCAGGCAGGTGACTGAGTTCATTTTTTAGACTAACACACCTTGTGCCTTCTAACTGAAAGGATGAAAGTACCAAAGAAAAAGGAGGAGGAAAGAAATAAATGCACCATTAGCTGCTCTGCAGAAGGGACATGTGAGTAGTGGGGCATGCATTGGCTTTAAAGCAAAACCCACCCACCTTCCATTCTTCACTAAGGAATATGCAACAGTGAACACTGTGGTGGGATCTGCCCAGTGCTTTCCACAGTGCAACAAACTACACTGGGATCTTCGAAGCCTGAGGGAAGCAAAGAATAGCCTGCAGTTTCAGAGAGGTTAATTGTCAAGAAAGAGCTGAGGATATTTTCTAGGAGTCACTGCCAACCAGGGGCTTCCTCAAGTGAGGCTGACCTTTAACATTTTAAAAGGTGAGGCAGATTATCCTCACAGCAAGCAAACTTGGTGTGACGAGAAGCCAAGCTAGAAAAGCTCTGATACATACAAAAGGCCAGTTCAGCTTGGTTTATACCTTTTTTTTCCTTTGGGCTTGAACCTGCTGTTTGCGTAAATAAAAGGAAAACTGGCTGAAGCATTTTTTCCACTCTTTTGTAACAGTTAAAAGGGACAAGGAAACAATTAAATCTAACCTTCAGAGAATAATTTCAAGTGTTTGCTTTAGTCCAAATTGCCAATTAAATCTCTTGGTACATAGTCTCAAACTGATCCTGTGATAATTTGGTGGAAAAAATGGGATAAGCATAAAAGTTTGTGCATGATGAAATCTTTATGAAACAGCTTATGGAAGAGCACCAGACTCAAATAGCAAGTTGCCATCAATTCCTTCCTACTAAGACTGACCCCACTATTAAAATGACTAAATATTAGCACTACTTGACATGACCTGAAGAATTATGTGAGTAGATTTACTGAAATACAGTTACTAAAGCACAAAAGGTTAGACAGACACCCACCTATTTGAACTATGTCCTTTCTAAAAGCTGAGCACGGATGCAGCGAAATTTCCAGATACAGCCATTTCCCCCACAAACCCTGATCTTACGCCACCACACAATCCTTAAACGTTGCACTCTGTAGTCATGTTTTTAGAAGACAGCACAGTAAAGCACAGTTTCAGAGGAATGGCAAGAGAGCTCACGTTCACAATCAGAAGCTGGAACGCAGAGATATAGTCAAACTTTTCACACCCACCACAAAGGAAGGTTAGCCAGCTCACAATTTAATGGAATACACAGAAAAGGAAAAGCAGAGACATATAGAAACTTAGTAAAAACAAAATTAGATGCCCCCCAAAAACACCACCAGTGACTCTGGCAGGAACCCTACAGCTGAACTCTCATAAAAAGTATTAATGCGTGATGAATGGAGGTAAAGCCCCTACAAATAACAGATTCAGTTGTGCCATGTCTCAAATACGTTATCTAGATGTGACTAAATCTTTTAGCTGCCAAGAGCACAGGCTTTTATCCTATTGAGAAACTTTTAACAATAGGAAGAAGATTTGCACTAAGTGGTCACCATCTTGGTGATATCTGAGCATAGGAGACAATTCATTTTTGTGACAGTAAGGCAATCCAGTCATTAGATCATTTTTCCTGTAAAAAGGCGGCTTCGCAGCATGATCTTGAATTTCTCTGGATAGAACTGACAGGAAGATAACTCCTCTGCATATCTCTGGTGGGGAGGATCAGCAGAAAGCATCAGAACTCTTCGGGAGACTCCAGCACAGAAGGACAAATGAAATTAAATGAAACCTGCATCTACTTCAATGATAGCATTATTTATCTCTATTGTGACATTGGGCAACTGCTGTTCACAACTAACCTGTCAGTCAGAGACAGGATATTCAACAAGGTTATTCCTGGTAGAGAACTGACGATCTGGTGTGACACAGAATTTGTCAGTTTAAGCCACAGTGCATCACTTCCCTCAAAAACAGCCCAAGTGAAATGTTTAACAAAACACAGGGACTACTTTTAAGCTGATGTCAAAGAACAGAAGCTTGCTATATCCTGTTCGCAGCCTGACAAGTTTCACAGCTCCATGCTGCATGATTGCCCTTTGAACTATTTTATTGGCAGTATCTTTGAAAATCTTAGGTCTTCTCAAAAACACAGTCAACACTATTCGGACACTGTGAAACACCACATGGCTGTGAAAGCAGAAGACCAGTATGTGTTAGACCAGTATATGTTATACATTTAAACACATCTGTTAGGCATTATTGGCACACTACTCAAAAAGAAACTGAGGAAAATACAACCATGAAAGGCATGCTAAGGCTGTTTTCTTAACTGCAAATGTAACACTGTGACAGCGGGTAACAACATCAGCGCATTTTCCATCATAACCTACACCCAAACACACCACATACGTAGGTCACTTTACTTTTCAATACTTCACTATGCTTGAATTAATTCTGGAAAAACCCATCAACAGAACTCAGGGAAATGAAGTGACAGCTTGTACTTACATGCCAAAAGTATATGAATCTACTCGTTGTGACTGTTGAGTCAGTGTGTAAAAGCCTGAGTCATCCATTCCCCTGGTGATCCCACCTCTGCTAAGCCTATCCGTGCACAATGAATGTTTCAGGAAGAACTGCATTAGGAATAATTTATGCTTTAATATCAACAAGGAAAAAAGTTAAGATAGCAGGAAGAAACAAATCCTCTACATATTACATAAAGGAAAAGAAGGCAAGAAAGCAGCAAAGTAGTCACGATGTGCAGTGTGGTAAGAAAGGCTGCAAGGAAAAAGAATTGCTCTAGAATATATTCACAAATACTTATGTATTTTGCAAAATCCTGTGGTCTGCATATGAAACTGTCTCACCATTTAAAAAGCTTGAAAACAAACAAGATTCAATCAACGTTATCCTTCAACACTTATTCCCAAAATAATATAAGCAATAAGAATATCATTATTTCATTTCCATTACTGTTGGCGTTCTACTATTAAAACTACAACAGTGTTCCTACATGAATCCCAGTAAACAAGTGTTCCCTCCTCTATCAGTCATGCCTTTATATTATCCTGTACATTCCAGTAGCACTATGGAGCACACAAACCACGTGTGCTGTAAACACAAACCTCACGAGTGGATGTTTGACTCTCAAGTCCTGCACAGTCAGTATTTCACTGTTCTCTGTGCTGCACTGACACAATGGTCGTGCTTTTCATCCTCCTGTGTGCATGAGTGCCCACATAAAAACAATACAAGGGAAAGACTGGCTACTGTTTCCTCAAAACCAGGCTATGTAAACACAGGAGAATCTTGCTTCACGGTTTCCCATTCGTGGGATCTGGGAGAATTTTTTGAAAACATTACTTATATATAGGAACAGAGTTCAGAGAGAAAAACTAACAAATCCCAATGATGATATAACAATAAAAAGGGGGGAAATAAACAAAACAAAGAAACAAAAGCAAAACTCTAAAGTAGAAATAGCCTGGAAATTCATCATCTGCCTTCTTCCAAGCTATAACATTCTGACCAGGCACTCAGCACTCTGCTCCAAGCACTATGACCTCTGGAGACACAAGAAATTAATCTGGCTGAGAAACAGGGAGATGCAGCATCTCCCAGAACTGAAAAAAGATCCAGTAGCCAGAACAAACCACATGGGCAGAGGGAATGAAGGACATCCTCAGCTCAGAGTTCACAGGGTTGTTTGGGAAGGAAGCCAAGGACTAGTCCAAAAGTTAGGAAATGGCATTGAAACTGCATTGTTTATTTTTGTTAGTGGGGAAAACTACAGCACATTGGTGAATGTCTTCTCATACTCTGGATTCACACGATGTGTGTATTAGCCTACATGATAATTTTCAAGGTAGCTCTTTCTCTAACCAGTGACAGAAACACCATTTCCCACAGCTTCATTCCCTCCTATTTTCCAAATCAAAACAGATTCCAAGGGGCTGGCAAAGGACAGGAATTAACCTCCATAGCCCTGTTGTCTCCAGGGCACACTATTTTGTACACTGCCAGAACAGAACAGAAAATTAGTAGTATCTGAAGACAAGGGGCATGGGAAAAACCTGTGTGTCTCACACACACATATATATGTGAACATAATGTTCGGAACTTTTTCCATTTCACTGAAAATGCAGCAGCATCATTATCCCAAAGCAACTGAGTTTATAAATAATAATGTACAGTCTGTCTTGATAAACTAATTAAGTGAGGTGTAGCTATTCCTTAGTGAGCAAAAGGACACATTAAATAAGAGAACACCACATTCAGACCTGTGATATATGCAGAACACTAAACACTACACAGTTTGCTTTCCTCCACCCTGGGGTGTGCTGTGGA